AATCTTACATACCTTAACAGTGCCTTCGGGGCACCATGGCATTACATTTGGGGTGAGCCATTAATTTATAATGGAACTATAAATTACATCTGAAGGTGATAATTCCAATTATTATATTCTGTTTAAGAAGGCAGAGGGGGTATAATATTCTTTAAATACTTATGCATAATAATAATGTGTCTATGAGATGCAGGACATTGGGGGATGAGGGGGAAAAATAGGCCAGACAAGAATTCTTTCCCCAAGAAATATTATGGGGCTAATAGCAAAGACAGTACAGATCTATATTACACGAGCATAAGGTGAAATGCCATAGAATGGTACAGATACAGTTACTGGGAATACACAGGAGAGAAGAAATTATCATTAGCTGATGGGATCAAGTGCCTTTCTTTAAAAAATGGCACAGGAATTGGGTTTTAAGAGACAGGGCCTGCAAGGCTGGAGCAAGAGGAGCAAAGCACTGAGTAACGTTGTCCGGAGCTTTCTGTGAGGGCAGAAATGGAAATGTTCAATGCAGCAGCCACTAGCCACATGTAGCTCCTGAGTAGTTGAAATGTGGCTAATGTGACTGAGGAGCTCAATTTTTAAAACAATTTATTTCATTTTAATTATTTTAAATTTAAGCAGCCATATATGGATAGTGGACAGTACAGGTAGAGTATGCATAATTTCCTTCATTTAAAAAAGTTCTGGTGCTTTGGTAAAGTGATTTATTTAATCTTGATGTATTTCCAGGTTGGATTATTCATAATATCTCAGACAAATGTTCATTTTCTTCTCAAAGCTACCACAGACACATCCCACTACAGTATGTTAATTTACTGCATTGCTGGCTGGGCCACCTACCATAAGCTTTCACGTACTGCATCTTGGCTATTAGGCAGTGTGTGGCAGAACTGGAAATGTGGCCCCCCAAGTCTGTAACTCCTCCCCACTCCCTTGACACTCATGGTTGAACCACACAATGACAGGAGCCCAGGTCCCCAGGTCACTTCTTGGAGGACAGCTGTCTAGGATAGTTGTCCTGCCCACACTGGACTATGTTTTGAGCAAGAAATGCACTTTGAATGGTTAAAACACTGCGATTGGGGGTTGTCTGTTAGGGCAGTTTTAGTCAAAGTAATCAACACATAACTCAATTTTCTTTCTGTAGTATCTTATTTTTCACCATTACAGAGTCCTTTATATCAAATATCATTTTTTCCTCTTAAAATCCATTTGCCTATAATAAATATGGAACATAACTAGCTAGTAGCTTTAGAATTATGATTCATTTATCTCAATAATGACTCAGGTTAAAACATTTATCTGAATTAAATCATCTCAATTTATTTGATTTTTTCCTGAAAATTCATAATTATCAATTCTTCAGTAGTCATGTAAGAGTGGTTTGTAATACTCTTCTTAGTTGTAGATCCAGAAATTAAAAGCTCATGTATGTTGAGTGTAATTAGAGAATGTTTGAAGCCGTTTGTAGACAAGTTAAAAGTTGAGATTTCCTATTGCTGCTTTGACAAAAGAAACTAGTCTAAGGAGAATTTTCTATTTTGAATTTGTTCAGGGGAATTCATGACATTTATTGCTGTTCTCTCATACAAGAGAAAATAATTAAATTTTCCAACCACATACACTGGCTGGTATTTATCAAAAAGCTTATATAAGCATCAACAAAGCTGTGAGATGATATGCTTTATTATCCAAACAATTCTCTGCGTGATGACAACTATTCACAGGTGGTCAGCAGTTAGAACTTTTTCCTCTTTTAAATTTTCAAAAGGTATTGCTAAATTTTCTTGTTAAGGCATTCCATCAATTCTTGAATCCTACAATGTTTGCTAATAAAGGCTGTTTTCCCCTCATAATAATTTCAGCCAACTAGCACTGTCAACAATTACAAGATTCTAAAACATCCCAATATAAGGAAGTAAGCAAGCAACTACTTGAGAAGCAGAGTGGCCTTCCAAGCCGAGAGTAGACACATATCAGACATACGAGAGCCCAAGCTTGTGTCTATGTGATTAAAAAATTAAATGAACCCAAATTTATCCCTCCTTCATTACCCAGAAACTTATAATTCAGACATTAAAAAAATTCTAAAGGTTGCTCTTTCAAACAACCCAAAAACAAGTTTTCCAAAAATGAGTAGAAAACCACTGTTGATATAAAATATGATAAATATTTTTAATCAGTGTCCTTTAAAACATGAGGTATAAACTATTGGGGATATTATTAATAGTCATTTATATATTTGTCTCTTTTGACAAAACAGCCTAATTTGACTCCAGGGTATCTTAGAGTAAAAAGTTAACCAAAAGTATCTGAACAACTGCTGCCATCTCAATCAACTTCCATGGATTAATGTAAACGATGCAGGACCCAATACTTAAAAGCAGATGAAGTTAACCAGGAGCTTGTCCCAAAGTTAAATTCTACAAATCTGATGAGCTAAACATTGTTGTTCATCTGCAGGCAGGATCAGTGACATACTGAATTTTGGGAGTTCAGTTTTGCAAAGAGAACCAAGTTATTTTTATATGAGTCCAAATTTTGAAAGTGCCTATCATTTTTATTTTTTCCATTCTAATTAAATCCAGATCTAATCCTTTCAATGTCACTAACTTTGAGGCAGCAAATCGCCCTTAATGTCTATATACGTTATTTTAGCTTCAACCCTATCTATTAGATGAGTAGAATCTATTAAATGAGTAGAAATATTTAGTCTGTTGAGATATAAAGCAAAACCCAGTTCAGTGCAACTACAGAGAGACATTAATTTTATCATCCGATTATTTCTGTGGAGTGTTTTAAAGTTTCTCACCTCTACCTCTTTATATCAATGAATTTAACAAAACAATAAGATACATAATACTTGTATTTTGTAGATATATGCAGGATTTTTAAAATTTAAATTTTAAATAGAAGGAAAAAGAAATATGAAAAAAGCAAGAAAAGAGATGAGAAACTGGCATTAACGAGGCATCTTATAAAATCACTATTAGGTATTGTTTCTCCTCATTGTACAAACGAGGAAGTTAAAGCTCAGAGTAGTAAGCTTGTCCAGGATCACAAACCTGGTAAATGGTGAATGTAGGATTTGAATTCAAGTATTTCTCACTCCAGGGTCTATGCTGCTTTGCCATTATACTATTGCACCTGTATAAATCGAAAGCATGGTCAGAATTGTTATGGAAAGAATCTGTACATTATGTAATTGTCTCAACTCTATTTTGTGGTTCCTGTTGATGATTCCCTTACTCTGTTTTTATATTTTTAATCCTTGCTTTCTATGTGTCTTAATCCCATTGCTGTTGTGACATCTTTTTATTTCTCCTATTCTGTTTTCCTCTACTTTTCTAGTTTTTCAAGTACACAAAAATGTTTTAAATTTATAGTATTATTAGGAGCTTGACACTTGAACTTGACTTAAATGATAGATAATTCTCAAACTTTTAAAAAATTAATGATTTAAGAAATTTAAGTTTCCTTCAATGAGTCTCCAGAAATGTGTCCTCAAAATTCCACTGGCATTGATTTTTATAAAAATCGACAGTAAGACATGCTGTGCACAAGCAGAGGCAACTCCATTGTTTGGTTCCTAGCAACAGCTATTTATACTTCATTGTGTGTCATTTATTTCGACCTAGGAGTTCTTCCTACCCATACACAAAAGTAGTTCAACTCCAGCAAGTCTAACTCTTGTTTCTTCTTCTTATCTTTTAGAAGAAGCTCAAAGCACTACTTAGGCCAATTAAGTGTACATTTACTCTCTGGGTCTCTACAAGACAGGCAAGAGCGAGCAGGGAGGCGAGGGGGTGGCTGATGGCAGCAGCTGAAAAAGGGTTGTTGTGGGTTTTTTTGCTTCCCAAAGATGACTAGGAAACCAATTTTGAAATTAAACAAGCATTGAGAAGAGTGACCCTCATGTCTCAAATTCAGGAAAACTTACTCTCTGTAGACCCTGAATTTCTTCAACACTGGCTACAGGAAGGCAAGCTGTGTACCAGTCTTGCCATGCTTCCGTATGCCAGGACAGAGGACAGCAATGCCCACACATTTGGCTCTTTCCTTAAATCAATCAGTGAGGTCCTGTGCAGTGTTTACTAACAATAATAATCGACCGTATTTATTCTCAAGCTTATTCTTTGCTTGCTTTGTTACAAAACAAAATGAAGCTATGCAATGTGCTTTTTAAAACAAAAACGATGCTATGCGCATTACAACCAATTAACGTATCATTGTAGGATTTAAGAGCTAGCTACCTTCCTGGTTTTAAACAGTAAAAATCATAAGCATCTTAACTGAAAAAATGAATTTTGCTGGAATTATGTGTTTGGAAACCTAAAAGAAGCAGTGTTCTCACTAACATAGAAAAGGAAATGGCCTCTCCGAAAAGAGAGAGGGAAGAGAAAAAAAAGGAAGAAAATATACAAAATGAACCTGAGAAGATTTTACTAAAATGAGGACAGGCTGTACAAGTACCCTTACTGTATTAATTACTGCAAAAGCCCTACAATTCCATCAGCTAATGAATCTTTAGTAACAGCTACCCAGAACAGCATTAAGCTTTCATTTCAAAGAACTTAGAACGTGTAAGGTATATGAGTGAACAGAGAGAGCAGACACACGGCATGGTAACAGACAGACACGCTCAGTTGGCTGACCAGAATATGAATTTGGCAGTTTTGCCCCTGTCCACAGACAGACTGACCTTCCTTGAGACTTTTCTGGTTGCTCCCCTCAAGGCATTCCTTTTCTTTTAATGGTTCAAAATCCCCAGCAGTTAAAATCTCTGGGAAGCCCTGTTGCTGCTTCTTGGAGCTATCGATCATGGTGAGAGGCTTCTGGAGACAGGCAGCATCAAGCAGGAGAAAAGCTTAATTTGCAGAAGAGCGAAGTGTGGTGCTCAGAACACTCTGGTCCCTGGGTCCCTGGTTGCTCCCCACAATACCCCAATCACTGGCCAATTATGTCTTTAAGCAGCTGAAGGCAGCCATTACCCTTTAGTTCCCAGCTTGACCTGCAAATACACTCATGCCGCTGGAAGCCCTTAACTCTCTCCCACATCGGGAGGCAGAGCCACACAGGCACGATTCTAAAATCCCACCCCTTTTCCCAGCCAGCCCCCTTTCCCTTGCCATTCTAGCTTCCCCCGCGCTGGGGACTTCAATCTGCAGTTTGATGGTCCGAATCATCTGACAAACACTGAGTCAAGCAGTTAAAAATAAATCTTCTAGTTGTTAAAAGAGAAGACTTTGCTGATACCTAAGAAGACAAATTGCTGCCTGTGGTCTCTCTCCCGCTCTCTATAAACACAGCCACAGGCTGTGGAAATACTTTATACTGGCCAGACAAGCACATCCATTACTCATTAAGTTCTCCAGCTACACAAACGGCAGTCTAGGGCATCTGAAGGAAGTGGCTCTTATCTCCGCAGAGGCACACACTGAATAAACATGCTACCAGCATATGTGAATGAAGACAGAGTCATTTCACTACCAAAGTTCTTTTGTGGTGTGCTTTGTGCTGCATATGGCTCTTCCTGGCAAAGCCGATGCTCTTTGTAATAGGGAAATGTACTGTAATTGCAGCTTTCTTCCTTTGGCAATTCAGACTCAAGCAGCAGTTTTCCTTAGTGCCACTAGTCGGCTGGGAGAGTTAACATCGCCATGATTTTTTTTTAAGGAAAATTCTCCTCCCATGCATTAAAAGTGGCAACACTGAGAGCTTCTACTTCATAACAGAGTAAACCAACGACCAGCCCAAGTTTAATTTTACATGAGCTATCAAGGATGGGCACCTCTCCTGCAAGGCACAGGCTGCTGTTCACTGCGTATAGGGACACTGCTGGCAGGAAATCTCTAGATACAGGAATTCCAGGCAAATGTGGAGATAAGCCTGTCTCCAAATACTCCAGATATATATCTCTGTAGCCAAAATAATCTGATTTTTAAAAAATGGTTCAAAGTGTGTTCCTTTGCAAAGAGTTTCCATAAAACCCATCAGAGGTTATAAGAGCAGTAAGTAGACTGTGAATACTGTTACATGAGGTTCTGTTTTGTCCACTTTTAAAAAAATTTTTTTAAATAACTTCTAGCAGAGTGCTTGGAATATTAGGTGTTCTCAATAAACATTTGCAGCATGGTTGAGTGAATGAATTAAAGCAGAAGACAGTGTATCAGGAAAACTTCCTTTAATAATACCCAGAATTCTAAAGAAGTCCTGGGTCAATAACTAAGAGTCACTAATTTTAGATGAGCAACTAAATAAGTTCTCTAAAGGAAGCACATTTTCTCTTTAAAAGAAAATATACAGACACATTTTAATCGTGCACCTGATGAAACCCTCCTGTGGGATAAAGGCTTACATGTTTACAGACAGAAAAATCAATATTCTTTCCACCACTTAAACACAGGTGGGACTGGATGAAGTATTCTCTCCTTTGTCCCTGATTCCAAGGCTGGTATGCACTAAACCCATATTGTTCTAGAAAGATTGCTATCTATCCTTTTTCAGCATCTCACAGGACAAGCTTCTTGTCAACTGAAATTCCTTCTGAAGCAATTTAAGTCCATCCTTGGCAGTCCAAACCTTAGCAGGAACAAATATTGACAAGCTTATCACACTCTCAAAAATGCCCTCAAACGTTCTGTTACTATCTCTGACCCCAACGCTTGTATTCTTCTAAAGAAACTACTCCTGCACTTTTAAAGGAGTAATAAAAATAACCATAGTTCTTTGAGGACATTCTTTAGGTGGGTCGCTTAATTAGATGTTTTGCAAAGTTCATCTAATTTAACCCTCCACAATCCGTGTGGTCGCTATGATTATTTGTGTACGTTATAGACATTTTACATGCCAAGGCTCAAGTCACAAAGCTTGTAAGTAGCAGGTATGGAATTTAACCAGTCTTAGTTCTCCAAAGCCCAAGTCTGTCTGTGGCCTTGCCCTGCTTTCTGTCTTCTAGAATATGCTCCAGTTCCAGGTTTTAATTTCATCTTGAGACAGGGTTAACAGCAGAAGCCATGACTTTGATGGTCCCCTAGTAATTCTACTCCTGGTGAGAGAAAAGCAAGCCAACATAATCATACTAAAATGATTTTATGAAAGCATTTTAATTACTCATGAAATAATAATAGCAGCCAACTTTACTTAGTGCTCACTGTATGCTACAGACTATATTATCTCATTTATCCTACTGCAAGACTTGTGAGTTCAACATTATTTTCCCGATCTATACATGGGAAAATGCAGGCTTAAAAAAATCAGCGGTGGGTCACGCCTATAATCCCAGCATTTTGGTAGGCCAAGGTGGGCGAATGACTTGAGGTCATGAGTTTGAGACCAGCCTGGCCAACATGGCAAACCCCCATCTCTACTAAAGATACAAAAATTAGCTGGACATGGTAGCACATACCTATAATCCCAGCTGCTCGGCTGACGCAAAACAATCGCTTGAACCCGGGAGGCAGAGGTTACAGTGAGCTGAGACTGTGCCACTGCACTACAGCCTGGGCCACAGAGTGAGACTCCATCTCAAAAAAAGAAAATCAAATACTTTGTCAGAGGTGGCATATCTTGTAAGCGGTGGCCAGGATTCCAAAGCAAGCAGCTTGGCTCCAGGGCCTACATGCTTAATTACTTTGCAAAAACAATAAACTCCAACATTTTTTTTTTTTTTAAAATTTCAGGATGTTGCTTTTAAATTCTGAAAAATGCCCAACTGTTTTTAGGCCACAAGCCTATAAATCTGAGTAGATGCACAACTACACCAGCCACTTTAAAATTCTTTACCCTATCTGTGTGTGTATGTATCTTCAGTGTGTGTTAAATGGGTTTTTAAAAAGCTATCTTTTAAGAAACCTCTGCATGCTTATTTTTATATCTAATAGATATCAAAATCCCAACGAGAAAACACATTATTCTGCTATAGGTTTATATCAAAAGTTGTGTCTTTGTAGTTCTCAAAGAAAGTAATTTCTCTAGTGGTGAATGCACCTGAAAGAACATTTAGTTATTTAAAAATTTTTTTGGAAATAATTTTGAATTTACAGAGCATTTCCCCCAGAATCATCTCTGAATAGGTTCTAACATGATACTTCTTTACCCTAAGTGTTCTGGTGTGTAATTCCTACAAACAAGGATATTCTCTTACAGAACCAAAATATTGCTTAGTCAGTATAGATATATCAAATTAACATTGATAAGAAAAAAAGCAAACACATAAAAAGAGGAAACAAATTAACACTGATATATCTGCATTCAAGTTCCACCAACTGTCCCAACAATATCATGTATAGTGAAAGGATCCAAACCAGGATCACATATGGCATTGAGTTCTTAAGTCTCTTTAGTTTTTGTCCATCTCTAACATTCTCTCAATCTTTCTTCACTTATCTTTCCTTGAATTTTGATGATTACAGGCCAGTTATTTTGTAGTATTATCCTCAATTTGAGTCTGTCTGTTGTGTCCTTATGAAGGTTCTGGTAATGCATTTTCAACAGGAATACCCCAGAAATAATGATGCAATATTTGCATCCTATCAGATAATACACAAATTCAAGTATATTCAGTAATTGTCTCAAAACTGATGATGTTTATTTTGACATCTTGGTACTGGCCAGATTTCTCCATGGCGAAATTATTCTTTTTGTATATAATTATTCTGTAGGAAGGTGCTTTGAGAACAAGTCATTGGTGTACTTGGCTAAATTATTTATCACTATGATGGTTGCCAAATGGTGAATTTGGAAACTCCATCATTCCCTCTTCATTTATTAGTGGCACATCCTGCTATAAGAAAAAAAAAATTCTCTTCACATGGTTTATGTTCCCTATTTACAGTCTCCTATTTCATGCAATAGCTTATAATCTGTGACTTTCATTATTTATTTTGATGCCCAAATTGTCCCAGATTTGGCTAGTGGGAACTCCCATGGTTCCTTACTGTCACAATTCTATCATTCTTTGAGCAGTTTCTTATCTTCTTACTCCCTGGCACAAGATGTCCCAGGCTCATCTTGTACTTTTTCCCTGCCTTGTTTAGAACCCAAGGTCTGAATGCTAGGTGTGCTCACTGCTGCAAGGGTGTCGCTGTTCCCAGGCCTTCTCTGCAGACAGAGCTGGGGAACATGTCTGAGTTTATATGTATATGGATGCATACACACACATCTACATAACATGTATATCTCTATATATGAATGGATATAAATATACATCTATATTTAAGTACATATGTCTGTATTTATTTATATGTATTGAAAACCATGAGTTCATTCCAGTGCCTCCAATTCCATTCCAGTGCCACAGGTTCACTTTTTTTTTTTTTTTTTCTGTATTTGTGGCCCCTTCTCCTACAGGGAGAAACCTGTCTCCCATAGCTTCTGCCACTCCACTCATGGACACCCTGTATACATCACCACTGCCACTGCCGTGGCTAAAACTGTGCAGAAGCCTCTTCACCCTACACTGGCCTGCCTCCCCCTCTCCCACAGGGCAGCTGCCCAGCTCAGCCCCACACAATGCCTTTTGGGATGAATTAGGGACAGATGGAGGAGACCTGCAGTATCCCTCAGTAGGAGAAGCCCATACCACTGTCACCTGAATTGCTTTCCAGTAGGTTTGCCCTTGTTCCTTACTATATATGGTACATCATCTTCACTGTCATTTGGCTCTAATGTCACGAGTGACATTTAACTTCAAATAATATGTGATGAAAGTCACTTCTGCTATGATAAATCTGCTTCCACAGTGTGTGTTTGTATGCACACTGAAAAAGAGCTGTTTTAGTATGAAAGAGATGACCATAAATCAAGTCCATTTTCCCACCACCCCAAGCAGATATTTAATAAGTGTGAGAAAAACTGTATGGCTTAGAGAATAGGAACAATCCAAGAAAGTCTTCAGGGAATCAGAATACAAACAAATGCAGCTCAAGGGACTTACACAAAAACTTGGCAGAGTTAATACATGCATATAAAACTACTGATAAAAAGAGTATTGCTGTGATGATACTGTACTTCACTATGAAAAAACCTGATAATATTTTCAACTAGGCAATGTTTCACAATGTAAAAACATTCAAGAGTAATGAATAAAATAATTAGTAACAAATGCAAAGAGACGGGGAAATACTGAGGCATACTTTTCTGGTAGCATTCTTGACATAAAGATTGAGTAAAGATGACCTTTTCTTTTCATTTTCTGTGTCTCAGTACTTGGTAATAGATCCTCAGCAGCTATTCACTCAAGTGAATAATAGTAAACTTTGCAACTTCCTTCGCAAAGGCTGAGTCAGAGTATTACAAAATCTACACAGATAATGAGATTGGATGTATTAAGGAAGGAAAATTTCAGTCTAGGGTACACGTAAATTTTTTTTCCTGTTACCATATTTTTAGTAAAATACATATTTGATCCATGTTTTTCTTCCTTTTAACTTTATAAACACCACCATAAAATACTATACCTTTAGATCGTTACTAAATGGTTACGGTAAATTCCAACTAATAATTTAAAATGTTTTTTTTTTTTTTTAACAAAGGACAATTAAAGAGTGTTATCTCTCAAATCAGATAGCATGTATTAAAAGTTCTTTACAGTTATCACTTTTAAAATATATATTGAAAAAGTCCTTCATTTTATCACTTTAAAAATATATACTGAATATACAGTACTTCAGATGTAAACAGATTAGCAAATTAGCCCCTATGAAAACCGCTGTTTCATAAGGAAGGATACATTTTTCTGACCTTTCTAGGGTAATAAGATTTTGAAGGAAAACATCCATGTTTCACAGTTAAGTACTGCAGCAGAATTGAACACCACAACAGGGCAAAACAGTCTGATCATTGGTTTGTCATTTGTGCTTGTTGTCCCCCACCCCGGAACAGACCGGCACACTAGCACATGCGGCACCTCCCTCCCCGCCAGGTTTGCTTCACCCTCTCTGAGGACATGAAAGGCAGTGAAGGTTTTTCAGGGTTGGAATTTCCCCATGCATGGTCTCATGACTGGCCTGTGCTCAGACTGAGGGAGAGTGCTGTGTGGGACAAGGGAATGGCAGCACGGGCAGAGGACAGCTTGCGTGGCTCCTCAGGCAGCCGTTCACATGGTGGCAGCAGTGTACAACACAAATGGCGGCAGTGTGCAACACAAGCGTTCTGACTACACTTGTGTAAGAGACTGGGGCCATTTGTCTCTTCCTGCTCAAATCGTTAGCATGAGTAATCAAGAAATGACAGAACACACTTTTATCAACTTAGAAAAAGTCATTCAAATCCTTTCTCCATTTCTAAGCTTTACAGTTACTTATATAAATACAACTGGCTACTAGATTTACAACAAAGAGCTTTCCTCAGATGATATGATCAGTCTTCCTCAAATTCTGAGATAACTTCCCTAGCTATGGATATTTGAAAGACTTTTAATGTCATTTCATCACCTCATTGATACAAATATGTCTAGACCTCATTAATGTAACCCACTGAGGGCCAATGTGCATTTACTAAGATCATTCTATGCACTGGGGACATGTTAGGTGTATGTGGGACACAATCTCTGTCTCTTAAAGAATATAGTCTATAGCTTTTAACAATTTCTGACTGCCACTTTCCCCTCTTTTCCATTCTTTTGCTTTTATTAGAATGTTCTTTATACTAGTGCTTCTGTAATTATCTGTGGTTAAGAGAAATATTTTAAAACTTCCAATCTACTGTAGATCAATATGTGGTCCCACCATGCATTGCTAGTATACTGGGTCACGTTAGTTTGGTAATAACCAGACTAATTTGCACTCTGTTGAACAAGAGGAATCCACTAATCAAGCACTTGAGCGTCTCACCAGTGTTGTGCTGCCGTCACAAATACTACCGGTTTCTCAAGTTACCTCACAGAAGAATAACAAAAAGCCTGTAGGATGGCACAGCACACGGACCACGCTGACTAGCACTGCTTTCTACTCATCGACTTCAGTCTAGTCCTCTGACCACTCCCCAGACTACTAGTTCATGCCCTACTTACATCCTCTTGAGACTTAGTTTTAAGTCTAGGATAAACTATCTCAACCACTAAAGTCTTTCAATGTCTTGATATTCTGCCATTGCTCCTTGCTTATCCCCTGCTCACAAATGACTAATCTTAGTCAAGCAGTCAATCACAGAGTCTCAGGATTTGGTAGAACAAGCACTAGGACATAAATTTCCCGAGTCCAAAGATGTATTCTTGGGTATTCATGAACTCCTTATGGAAATGTATGCAATTTGTTTTCATTTTGTTAACCTGGAAAAAAAAATCTCCTTGATCACCTGGATGAGTATTTTATAGTCAAGTGTT